TTTTTAAACATAAATAATTCAAGGTAAGAAAAAAAAAAGTGAAGATTAAACCCTACAGTCTTAGGTAAGAAGTTCTCTAACAATATTGATATGGTTACTTGCTACACCATGAGCTCCCCTGCACCACTGCGTTATTAATAAAAGGTTTAAGTACCATTTTGGTTCCTCAACTTTTCAATTTGTAATCAAAATTGTTCTTTAACTTTAAAAAGTATCAAAATTATCTTTAAACTTTCATTTTGGATACCAAAATAATCCTTCCATCAATTAAATAATAGTTGTCACGGTTAACTTCCTAGCAAATCAATTCTTTTTTTTTTTAACTAATGATGTGGAAAAAAAAAAAAAACATAGTTGGCTTGTGAATTGGCATTTTTATTTAATTTAAAATTAATGATTTTTTTTTCATCCAAGTCATCTCTTCTTCCTCTTTCACTTTCTCTCTCCTTTACCTTTCCTTTTTCCTTACCTCTGCAAACCTAGATCTGGGATATAGGTTCTCTTTCAAACTTCATCTTCTTCCTTTTTCTTATTCTTTCTCTCTCTCTCTCTCTTCTCCCTTCTTCTTCATCTCTCAAACCCAGATCTGGGTTTTTCTCAGTCGTGTTGTGTTCATTTTCTATACAAAATGATAATCCAAAAAAACCTTCAAGCACGAATCACTCAAACAATAAAACTAAAGCAAACAATTTGTCAAAAAAAAAGAAATGCTAATCCATACAAAAGCTAAAGGATCTAAACCGTAACCATTAGAAGTAAGAACAAAATTGGCGTGTAGCAATTAACTACTAACCACAGTTGCACAAAAAGAAGATCAACAATCTGAATGATTGTTTGAGAATCCTTAGTAGAAACTGAATTGACATGTCTAGCATTTCAACGCTAAAGAAACAGTGGAAGAAAGAAAAAGGCGATATGAAAAGGCAGAGAAACTCATCCATCCATTTCGAAAAGAAAAAATCATACAAGAAGTAAAAAATCCACAAGAAAAGCATTAGATACTACAATCCTGCCATCATTTACAGAGCTAAAATTGAAACATGACTAAAAAAAGGATCCGAAACAGGAATGGTGTTCAGGACATGAATCATGCTCTGGCTCTAGATTTGGAGCGATAGAGCTTGCCAAACACATAAAGAGTGGTGACAAAGCCGATGAAGCAGAGACTCATGACAAGGACAACGATGGGCAAGATCTTCAAGCCAGGGGCATCGTCAATCGTTGTCCGAGCCTATAGTGAGCCAGATCTTGACACATGTTACTGCCGGAGCCGGAGCTGACAAAGCTAGATCCCGACGCGACTGAGCCTACAGTGAGCCTGCGACGGGACATACCAGCCGTTGCTACCACAAAACCGTGCAGAGGCCATGACATCAGGCTTCAAGCTCTTCTTCACAGCAGCATCCGCTGATTCGGAGGAGAAATGGCAAGTGAGGAGAGAAGCGGAGGTGGATGGAGAAATGTAGAGTTTGTCTCAAGCCCCGATCTGGGTTTGTTTTGGAGAGGAAGAAAAATCGATAAAAGAGAGAAAAAGAATAAGAAAGAAGATGGAGTTTTTTTTTGTCTTTAGGTTTTAAAAATTATGAAATAATAATAAAAAATGTTAAATTATTTTACTTGAAATACGTCATTAAAATTAAAAAAATCTAGTATTTTGTGGTAAGGTAACATATCACCTGTCACTTAAGGACTATTTTAGTACCAAAAATAAAAGTTTAAAGATAATTTTAATACTTTTTAAAATTAAAAGATAATTTTAATGTCAAAATAAAAAGTTGAGGATCAAAATGGTACTTAAACCTAATAATAAAACTAGTATGATACCCAATTTCATCCTTTGATTAGGCTTTGTCTTTAACAGCAATCAAAAGGAAAAAAGTTAGGCTTCTGTCTTTTAACTGCATTTCTTCAACAGTGTCGTCCTCTTCGATTGCATCAGACTAATGACGTCCCCTAACAGATATTCAATTCTTCCTGACCAAATTACTGCGAAAGATATCCCAAACAGCAACCCAGAGATGAACCCCATCACAACAACAAACCAGAACCACCCCACCAATTCCTCCGCCTCAGAAGGATCCTCCGAAGCTACACAAGCCTGCAACGGGTGTCCGCACAGCCCCGAATTGTTCTCGAATCTAGATACCGGAAATGACCAGAGCTGCTTCGTCTATGGTATTGGGCCGCTGAGACTGTTGTTTGAGAGATCGATGTCATTTAGCCGAGGCAGCGACGCCAACGACAGCGGAATTTCGCCGTCGAGATGGTTGTGAGACAGGTAGACAACTCCCAGCCCTGTAAGATTTCTGAACATGTGGGGGATAGTTCCAGTTAGGTTGTTTTGTCCGAGATTGAGGTAGGACAAGAAGTACATGGAGCCAGGCTCTGGGGGATCGATCCGGACAAGAAATTGGAAGATAGATCCAAGTATACGAGACTGCCCTGGGGCTTTGGTGTCTGAACAACAGAGACGCTGATGAAACTCACCAACAAACAAGTGTTCGGATCCAGGAATCTCACCAGGTTTTCCGGTCGAATTCCCTTGAAATATAGTAATTTTAAAGCTATTGTGCCATATTTCCCGCACTTATTTTCTTCAGCTGCTTTCTTCTTTCCAGTGTACCTAACTCTGATAATTAGGTTTCTGGGATTTGCAAGTTCTGTTGGGATGTTAGCAGAAAATCGATTGCTTCTTAAATTGAGCCATATAAGGCTACTGCAATTGCCAAGCTCTTGAGGGATAGCTCCTGTGAGGGGGTTGTGACTCAGCTGCAGAATGCTGAGTTTTTGGAGGTTCTGGATGTTGGCTGGGATTTCCCCGTGTAGCTGATTATCACAGAGGGATAACCAAGTGAGATTGGTGCAATTTGTGAGTGATTCTGGAAATACTTCGGAGAATGGATTGTTGTTGAGAATAAGTCTCCGCAGATTGCCTCCATTTAAGCACATGCCTTTCGGAATTTCACCAGAGAAGTTGTTTCCCCACATGATCAAGTCGGAGAGTTTTGGTAGCATCCATACTTCCAATGGAGTGGATCCACTTAGATTGTTCAGACTAAGATTGATTACAATCAAGTTAGTGTAATTTCCTAAATCAGAAGGTATTGATCCAAATAGAGAATTGCCTGCGAGCAGTAATTCCTGTAAGGAAGAAGCTGAGCAAAGTCCAGAGGGTATATTTCCAGTGAAGGCATTGGAAGAGAGGTCAAGCACTTGAAGCTGAGTACAGTTTCTTAGAGACATGGGTATAGTACCAGTAATGTTATTGAATGGAACTTGGAGAATTTTGAGCTTAGTAAGAGAGCTGATTGCGTTGAGAAAATTGCTGAAGAGCTGATTTTGGCCGAGATTGAAGCTTTGCAATTGATTGCATGATGTAAAAGAAACTGGCATCCCCCCAGAAAGTTTATTTCCAAAAAGATCAGGATCATGCTGAGTCCCACTAGTGGAATTCAGTTCTGGTGGGATTTCACCAGAAAAGTTATTATTAGCCAAAGTCTAATGTGTCAAGTTTCTAAGATGTCCCAATTCAAGCATCAGACTTTGTTGGACAGGTTGAGCATCTGAATGCTTGCACAACTCCCAAATTCAAGCATTGAGAAGTTACCACTTAAGTTGTTGTGAGAGACATCCAGAAACTTGACAGACCTAGTTATATATGAAGGAATGATGGTAGAAGTTTCCCCCCCCTGGAACTGATGGATTTCTGCAGTCTAAGTAGTTATCAGGTTTTGCATAAAATTTGCTTTTAAGATTTAGAGCCTGACAGCTTGGAGAGAAGTATCTGAACATTGAGAAATCCGAAATCTGGTTGTTTGAGAGATCAAGCTGGACAAGAGAAGGTCCAAAGTTGAAACTAACTCCTGGGATTGAGTTATGTGAAAGATTTACAGAAACCAATTGCTTGCAAGCAGTGAAAAATGTTTCAGAGATTGGGTCTGACAAAGTTACTGATTGACAAATCAAGTGTTTCAAGGGCGCATGAATGAGAAGAGTTATTGAGGAACAGGTCTCTGGAGAATGAATTTCCACTAAAATACAGATACTGGAGATTTTCCAGGACACTAAGATTATTGATATGCAAATGGCCAATCAGGCCAGCATTGGTGAAGTGAGTGCATGAACTTTTCCAGGAGGGGAGCAGATGACACCATGCCATGGGCAGAGACTGGGATTCCTGGGAGTCCAATCAGCCAAGAAACCTTTGGGATCAGCAGAAACAGAAATATTCTTGAAAGCTAGCAATGCTAGTGCCTTATCACTTTGATTCTGCATTTGCAAAGCAAGTGATCTAAAATGGATGAACTCTGGCACCAAAGACAAGTTCAGTGTAGGTAGGAAGCCAGAAGACATGATTGGTGTAGGTAGGAACAAGGGAAAACATAAAATGAAATACATCCGTTGTTCCTCACATTTCAGAGCTCTTTTCATTTTTGTTATGTAAGGTTTTGGAATTTGGATATCTTCATAACGCAAGGTGAGGGTGAGGCTGCAGCAATATAGGCAGAGTTTGATGAGAGCTTGTATGAAAGTTCCAAGCCGAATGAGAGAAACCTGAAAGACTTCTATTGAAAGGTTTCAGTGGTTTCCGAAAGGAAAAAAAAAATTAGAGATGGGAATCATATCTGAAAGAATCAGGTTGTTTGTCTGAAGTGTTTACCACTCACTGTATTTTCAAGCAGAATTTGCAGCATTTGAGTTTTTCAGAAGCTTCTTTAGCAGTGTCCTGTACTCTTGCTCCTTATTCCTTTCCACTTTCCCCTATGCTACGCAATAATCTAAGATGTTTCCTTCTTTTGTTTACCCATTTAGATTATCACAGCAAAACAAAGAAGAGTCGTAAGGTTCTATCCTATGAATTTTTCTTTCCAAGCAAACCATACCTGGATAAATTATCAATCGAACTTGATCCAAGGTAGAGAGTAATTCTTGATTACAATATATCCTTCTTTAAGCTATCTAGGTTGAAGATCATGTGTGTGAAATTGAACATAGATTGTGTATGGTATTACTCTCTTTTTGTCCCTGAAATCTATTGAATATTCATAAAAGGAGGTTATTTACAAGAACTGTTTCAAACTGCATCCTAGCAAAGGAAGGTGGAAATCCGGAGGCAAATAGCCTACTTTGGAGTTTGGATTTTCCATTAAAAAACAGAAATAGTAGATGAACATGAATTAGAAAGATTGTCCAACCAAAAGAAAGAATGTAATCCAGAAAAGAATGATGGCTAGGAAGAAGCAGAAACTTCATTCTGTCCAAGTAAACTCTTTCCAAGAATGATAAGGTATTGCCTTGCTTTTCCTGTTTCTCTGAGTGTTCGTTGTTGAAAGGTGCTATGAGTTTGATGTCTCCCCATAAAAGGGTTCCCTGATTCTGCTGCTTGCGAATCAGGGAAAGATTCTTCTACACTTTCCCTTTGAGGGCACTTCCCCTCCTTGTCCTGTTTCTTGCTTTGCTTCCCAGATTATTCGGAGTAGTAAGACTTCTTAGCTTTGCAGGAGGCTTGCACTGCAAGACCAAACAGTTAAATAGTGCGATTGTTATGACCTAGCTTATTTACAATCTAAAACAGGCAAAATGAAATCAACAAAAATAGCAGGGCCATATATGCTAGCCCTCAATTGCTTGAGTTAATCGGAATAAAGGAAAAAAAAAAAAAATAGCTAGAAGCAGTCCATACTTAGTAAAGCCAGAATGAATGCAGGTCATTCAATAATGACCAAGTCTTTTGCACAGTCCTCTCTATTGCTTAGATGACCATTGAGCACGATATCTTTTCCCAAGACCTGATTTTATTGTAATATTAAGCATGCTTCAGTTTCTTGATTCAAATTTGGGCAGCAAAGAGGAGGAAAAAATGGAGAAACCAAAATCGTTATCTGAACACAACTTTGGTTATTGAAGAAGTGCAGGATGGTCTCATCCACCATCCAGTGCAGAATTAAAATCAACGTTTAATAACAAATTAAATAACTATCAGCAGGATTAAAATCAATGATGAGCAGAATAAGATGGTAAAATGATTATTTTAAAAAATCTATGCACCTGTAAGACCAGTTATAGAATGCAAAGAAGAACTCTTAAAGTTACAAAGCGTGAATATTGGTACTTTTCCCACGCTCCTTTTCCTGTTGCCTTTCACCATTAGAAGCAATCTTAAAATCAACACCATTAGCATCATCATCAGTGTCCCCTTCTTCAATTGCTTCACCATCATCAGCACAAAAAGAAGGATCTGCAATAAGTAAAGAAACAAAGGAAAGAAAAAGAAAAAGAATCACTCCAGTAATGTGAATTCTAGATTGTAATGTATAAAGTTTGGTTTATAATTTAATTAATGCACACAAGAATCAATTTAGACAATGATGCTACCGCTACTGCTTATGGATAAGGAAACGAATTATTAGAATTCAGAATTGAATTACTACATCTTCTGGTGTGCAACTGGATTTCGACTTTGCAGAATCACAAACCCATATATTTGGTAATGAATCTGCCCCTCCCACGTGAATATGCAAATATCAGATAAAAGTAAAAACTGAACTTAGAAAAATTGTTCAAAATGAGACCAATATAAGATAAAAGAAACTACAAAGCATGTCATATTTTTATGGTTGCAGGTGAATCATAATATTAATTTTGAAGGGTAATTTAGGATCAAAATACAGATACAGATGGAAAATGAACACAGTGAAATCAATACTCACTACTTGGAGTTAATGACACCAAATCCTGTGCCAAAATCCGAAATGATACTACTTAGGAGCACTTGGAGTTCATCGGAGACGGGAGCCTGGGACTCTTCCTGCCAATTGCCGACCGATTGTGCCAAAATTGGAATACTGAAATTGAAATCCTAAAAAATATGGGATCTTCAGATTTGTGAATAGTGGGTGCAAGGAGATTGATGCACTAAAATCACCCTAATAAGTGTACTAATCGCTCCAAGTAATATAATGATGAATAGAGTATTGAACCCACGAGGATTGAGTCTAATTAAATACCAAAACAATTAATCTAAATTTATTTGAACAATCGAAAAGAGGGAATTTTAATTAAAATAACAAAAAGAAACTAACAATTAAAATAAAACTAACCAAGATATGAGATACTAAAGCATTGACTTCACCATAATCAATCAATATAAATTCTAGATTACTAAATTGTTGAGTGTTATTGCATGTGATGGCGGATTTCCCTAAATTAATTAACCAGCTTTCTCAAGTCAAACTAGTCTTTCACTTGTTTGTTAAATTAATCATATCTCTATGCAATTTTAAACAAACTAATGAGCATCAAATTCAAATGAAAACCTCTAGCTTAAGAAAGGGAAGCTCCTAACTCTCTTCTCTTCCCCCATTACCACATGTGAGTTAATTACCTCTTGGTCTCATAGTCTAACACATGGTTTCTATTATTATTGGTTTAATCTACGTAATTTTTTTTTCAAGTTCATGCATAAATCACTAAATCAATTGAAAGATGATCAGGCTTCCAATGCATTAAGTTCAATAATATAAACTTCTCATGTGAATAACTTTAATTGAAAGCATAAAATCACAAAATCTATATTGAATTGATTAGGCTACATCGTAGCCCTAGTAAAATAAATTAGTTCATAATAAAAATAATACAAATAATAAAATCTGAAATCATAGTTATAAACATTCAAATATCAAACAATAGATAAAAATCCAAGGAAAAACAAAACTCAATTTGAAGAAATCAAACTTTTTAATCTTTTATTGTTGATGAAACCTCTATCTTGATCTCCAATAATGCCCAAACAAAGGCTGTCACTAGCCTCCGCCAAGCTCTCTTAATTCTAAATTTGGATGGGTATTTATAAGATTTTAGAAATCCTAATTAGAATAGAAGTAGCACTTGAAGTAGAATAGAAAAGTTGAAATTTGGACTCTGAACGCATGGTGCTAATACCTTGAATTACATGTCAACACAAAATAGGAAACAGAAAGTCTAATTCTAGACGTTTAACGTATGGTATTGACACCCCAATTATGTGTTGATACTACACTCGTGTCGGGTTTCTGGTCTCTTTTTGCAATTTCTTCAATGGTAAAATAGCAGATTTGGTCCTTCATCTTTTTCAAGATGAGCACTTAGATCCCAAAACTCAAGATTCATTCATTTAAGTCCCAAAGAAGCGCCTTCTTCTTACAATTCAGTCCCTCAACTTTTAAAAGATGTTCAATTAATCCCAAAAACTTTTATTTTTATGCATTCAAGTCTTTTTCTGCACAAAGAATGCGAACCATGTAAAATCTCATAAAACTCAGTAAAATCTCATAAAACTTATCCAAATATCAATAATATCAAGGCAACAATTCCACATTAATATGTATACAAATTCAACTCATCAAATTCCCCCAAACTTAAGTTTTGCTCGTCCTCGAGTAAAATAAAAAGACAAAAGAAACAAAAATAAAACCAAACTCACTTTCGTAGGAATCATAGTTGCACTTAGCATGTGCAACAAGCCTTTAAACCCCTAAGTCACCCTAGTGGATGAGTTGTGTCTTGTGAGGGTTTTCAAGGGATCTACCCACAAAATCCCAATGCAAGAATGTAACTACATAATATGCATGCAAAGAAAATTTAGGAATTAAAGTTCAATTAGATACAAAATCTCAAATATTCAAGAGTTTTCATGTACTCACTTAAAGTTAAATACTCATTTTATTCTTCACACCACTTGTTAAAAGATTTAGCTCATGAGCACTTAGTGTGTGTGTGGAAATTTATAGTAAGAAGTCTCAAGTTTAGACCTTCACACCTTA